TGAGCAGCTTTTCATAGTCTCAGAGCTACTTGGCATACTAATATTGCTAACTATTGTATGCTCCCTTCTTCCTTCAGTTCTTTAGATAAGAATGTTTTTTTGAATGAGGTACATAATTTCTTTTGAGATGATCCCAATTTGTTCAAATACTGTAAATATCAAATCATTAGAAGATGTGTACTAGATAATGAAATGCTTAATGTCATTATATATTGGTTATCATATGATAGATGCCAATAGTTTGGGGGTATTTCAAAAGAAATATGATGCCCTTAAACCCTATTGTGGTTGTAGAAATTTTTTATTGTTGGGGCATTAATTTTATGGGCTCATTCCCCCAATCATTTTGGCTATTTTTATATCTTAGTAGTTGTTGACTATGACTCTAAATGGGTTGAGCCCATTCTATGCCTCAATAATGATCATTATAGTGTGGTGAAGCTTTTAAAAGAAAATATTCTATCATGATTTGAAATACCTCGAATCATTATTAGTGATAGTGGAGCTCAATTTTATAACTGTTAGTTTTAAAATTTAGTGAGAAAATATTTCATAAATCATAAGATTGCAGCTCCCTACCATTCATAGACAAGTGGCTAAGTTGAATTGGAAAAGTTGTCAGGGAAAAGGATTGGATGAATATTAAGTACTTTTGGTTTTGGGATTCAGGATTTTGTATGGAAGTCACCATGACATTAATGAATGTTAATGATGAATTTCTAGGACAAATTTGTTTTAGTGGGAGAGAGTTGTGAAACCCGGCTTCGCATTTCATTACAATTAATTGTGAATAATGGTGGAAGTATCCTATTTAAAAAGGTTTGAGGTAGTAAATGTAATTATTTGAAATTTTTGATTGGTTAAGTTTAAGATATGTTAGAATTAAGGCAAGTTAATTATTATGCATGATGTTATATTTAAGCTACAAGAGTGGAATTAAATTGAAGTTAAAAAGGTTGGGGTTGAATTACAATTATTGAAGTTATTGAGAAAAAATATTATACGAGTAAATTATGAGAGTTACATTCTTCAAAGGGTAAGTATAATTATTGCATAGTGTTGTAACAGTTGGAGGTAGAAGGCCGTGGTTAGATTGAGTAGAAAAGAACAAACAAACAAAAACGTAGAAAGAAATAGAGAGGAAGATCAGAGATGGAAAGAAGAAAGGAGAAAAGGAAACCGTGGCTTCAAGTAAAGTTCTGACGGTGATATTAACTTCGATTCTTACCAAATTTGAATATGCTATTTACATAGCTTGAATTTCATATCTACCAGTCAGTTTCTTCAAATGAAGTTGGTTCTTTAATTTTCTATTTTCTTCCAATTGATAATTTTTTGACTGGGGAAAAATGTTATAGATCAGTATGGAAGCTAGAAATCGGTTGGAAGGTAATATTTTTTCAATGAAGTCACTATGAGTTTGAGGTTTTTGGAATCAAGAAACTGTTTTTATGTTGCTAAAAATTGAGTTGATAAAATTTTGATCTGCTGAAAATTTTGTAAAGAAGTTGGTTGTTAATTCCGGTTTTGACAGACAGCTAGGGTAGTCGATGGAAAAACGGGGATAATTGTCCCTAGAAAATTCGGATTTGTGCACCACTTTTTGTTAGAACATAGGCTCATAGATCTTTCTAACCATATATGTTATAGAACATAATTCTATTTGTGTGAAAACTAACATTGTTTGAAGTTGACTGAAATGTCGCGACTGATGGAAAAAATCAGCTCAGTACCTTTGTAAACAAATGAACATAACTTTTCACATATAACTCCAATTTTAGCTCTTGACCTATGGTTAAAATGCTTAGGAAGTACACTTTATGATTAATTTGGGTTTTTGTTTTTATTTTAGAAAGGATAGAAGCTTTTTTAATTAAATTCACGCAATGGGCTTTTGTGTTATTTTAATTCATGTAAAGTGTTCGAGGAAATGTTTGAATGAACTGAATAAGCAAAAATGAGGCTTAAGTTACCCTATCTTATTTGAGTTGAATGTGGTATGAAAATAAAAAGAAACAAAATATTGAGGAATTCGGATATGAGGTGTATTGGACTGCTTTGACACCCTTTAGTAAAATGGGCATAATTTTTTTGTAGAAAACTCGGATTGATGCACTGTAAATTTCTTGGAAACTAGACGTAGAGACCTTTCCAATAGTATATGGTAGAACATCATATTATTCCTATGTAAAATCAGTTTTTAGTTTAAAGATAACTAAAAACAGTCCATATATCGAATTTAATAACTTGTTGAAAAATAATCGAAAAATGGTCTATGAGAGGTTCTTTTGAGCTTATGACTTATCGTTAGAAACCTTAAGAAATTTACTTTCTAACGCATTTGGTTTCCTGTTGAGCTATTATGAAAATAATCCATGGTATTGGAGTTTTTCTTGATCTAAGTCAAGTTGAATCGGAACGAACAAAACTTAAAAGGAGTGACGCTCATATGCATACATTTGCATCTGTTGAGTTGTTTGGAGTTGAAACTCATTGTGTATGTTTATAAGATAGGTGTTAGGTATAGAAGATAATATACCGATTCCACATAAGGATCAAGCATAAAGCATATGGGTGTAGTTGTTGTTGGTGATAAGTGAAGTGTACTGCTTTATAATATTTGGAAATTAAAGTGTATGATATATGTTTTATTTTTTTGATGTGAAGTGAAATCGCAATGATTCGATCTTAGTTGAGTTGTGAAAATGATGGATCAAATATTTTTTTTTGAAAAGCTTGTAGTTGAAGTATTATTCACTATGTCAGAGTTGTTGGATAGTTTAACATGACTTACATGTTGTTATATTTAACAATGCATAGTTGTTATGAGATAATTTGGCATTGTTTAAATGTTGTAGATAACTTGACATTGCTTAAAATTGTTGACTCAAGACACATGTGAACTATTTATTATGTTGATATTTGGTAGTGGTTTTAGATTTCAAAATAAGTTGAAAATACTTGATTTTTTCGTTCTCCGCAAGTGATGAATATATTTTTGTAAAATGATATTTAATCCATATTTTCGATATTTTCACTTATTATGATGTGCAGTACACTCATCGCTTTTTCTTTTTGAAGCTTGCATATACTTCTCATCGTCATTGGTGCCATAAGTTGGGAAAATTTTAAATTTTTCAATAACACAACACAAGTAGTGTGATAGCTAGGATCCTTATACTTTGATGGAGTGTTTTGTTGAATGGTTTCACTTACATGCCCACTTAGAAAATCCTTCTTTTGTACATTTAGTCTACTCTTAATGGTACACAAATCTTTCAAAAATTCAGCAAAAGAAAGTATTTGTTTTATTGCGTCTAAGAAATGGAGGTTGATTTTGACTTGTCTGAAAATTTCTAAAATCTCAGGATTCAAAGTGGGCTTTGATGGAACTATAATCTCTGGGGGAAAGGAGTAGGAATCAGACATCTTAGAGGCTCACAAGACTCAAGACTGGTCAAGTTTATCACTCTCCTTAGGTTTAGAAGATTCCTCATATTTTTGGGCCCTCAGTGGAATGGTTTTATCAATAGTTTTTCCACTACAAAGTATAGTAATAGATTTGACTTGCTCATGTGTACTATAAGCTAATGTAGACTCATCCACATTAAATTGACCGTGTGGATTCAGTTGGGGTTGTGCCAAGACTTTTCATTTTTCTTGATGGTACGGTGTTGTTGTTAATTTGATGAGTGTGCTTCTAATGTTATTCAAAACTTGAGATGTCTGCTTATTAAAAGTGGTTTGACTTTGCACAAATTGTTGTAGTGATACTATGGCATGCTCAAGGTTCTTCTTTGGGGGTGAAGTGTATGACACAAAATTAGAGTGGCCTTGAGGAGGTGGTTGTTGTTTTGCAACGTTATGATTAGTCCAACTAAAATTGGGATGGTGCATTATATATATTATGATATGAGCAATAGTAAAGTTGTGTAATCAATTTATAGTGTAAGACGAGAAATAATATGAATTAAAGTGAAACTCAGTTTTTGTGAGTGTTTACAAAAAAAAAATGCGAGTCACCTAACAAGAAAACTATGATGATTCACCTAACTCATATATATATATATTAATCACACTACAACAAAAATCTTTTTTTGCGACGTTTTTTTTTGCGACGAATTTTAATTTGTCGCAAAAAAGTATACTATCCGCGACGTTATAATATTTTTGTCGCCAAAAGTATTTTTTGGGAATTTTTTTGCGACGTTTTTTAAAATCATTGCAAAAAGATGATTCGATTCAAATTGTTTTTGGCGCGAAAAATGGAGGAAAATTAAGATTTTTTACGACAAAAAAGTATTGACTTAAAATGTTTTTTTGCGATGTTTTTGAAAAACGTCACGGAAGATAAATTTTCATTATTAAAGTTAAATGAAATAATAATTTCAATTGGCGACGTTTTTTTTAATTCGTCGCAGAATGTAAATTTATTAATTTTAAATTAGACTTAAAATGTTTTTTTGCGACGTTTTTCAAAAACATCGCGGAAGATAAATTTTCATTATTAAAGTTAAATGAAATAATAATGTCAATTGGCGACATTTTTTTTAATTTGTCGCAGAATATAAATTTATTAATTTTAAATTAAACTTAAAATGTTTTTTTTGAAAAACGTCACGGAAGATAAATTTTCATTATTAAAGTTAAATGAAATAATAATGTCAATTTGTGACGTTTTTAGAAATTTGTCGCAGAATGTAAATTTATTAATTTTAAATTAAACTTAAAATATTTTTGCAATGTTTTTTAAAAACGTCGCCAAAAAGTCATATTCTTTTAACATTTATTGGCGCGATGAATGGCGGGAATTGAAAATTAGAAATTTTAAATTAGACCTTAAAAGTTTTTAACGACATTTCTAAAAACGTCGCAGAATATAAATTTTTCCTATCTGACTGTCTATTTCCCATAACATGTTTTTCGCTCAATAAGTGTAGCTAGCCCAAATAAATCCCTCACGCCAGTCTCCGCCTCTCTCTGCCTTTCTCTGGCTCTTCATGGATTATCCACAAAACCCCATTGATCCCTACCTCTCTCTACCTCAAAACTCCATCGAAGCTTTAGATTTGCTCAAAGCTTCAGGTATTCTGCCTCTCTTTGCCAAACTCAGACCATCTAAGCTTCAGACCTCCATTGAAGCTTCAGACCATCGTTCGCTGCTTTAGACCATCGTTTGCTGGTTCAGGTATTCTCATTTCACCTAAACCCCTCCCCTTAACTAAGTTTCTTATCGATATGCGAAGGAAAAACCCTAAAGCTTCAAATTTGTTTCTTTATGGTTTCAATTGTGTCATAGTTCTTGTTTTTTGATTGATTGAATCTCTGTTTGTGGATTTATATAAATTTTTGTTCTTCTTTTTCCAAATATTTTTTGGCGAGTTGTTTTTGGTAATTAGATGTGTTCTTATATTGAAATCAGTTGGTGGATATTGAAATTTTTTTCCTTTGAGCCTACATTTTGGTAATAATGGTTGATTCTAACACTGATTCTCAAATCTCTCAAGATTTGATCACTCCACTCAATACCCATTTCGCCTCTCACTCCAAATCCTCCGCCATGGAACCACCACCACCAAAATCCTACTGGCGATTCAGCAAACAAGACTTTTTCCCAGCACCCTCCTTCCAAAACCTCTCCACAACGATGCTGGCCCAACTATAGTTATTTCTTATGCCACTTCAGGCCTCTCTGCGTTGCTATCAGTGTTCTGTTACACTGAATTTGCTGTGGAAATACCTGTGGTAGGTGGGTCTTTCTCATTTCTTCGAATCGAGTTGAGTGATTTTCTTGCTTTTATAGCTACGGGTAATATTTTACTAGAGGCCGTTGTTGGTGCTGCTGGGTTAGGGCATTCATGGTCTTCTTATTTTGCCAGTATGATAAAATCTGATTCGGATTTCCTTAGAATTCGAGTGAACTCCTTGGCTGAAGGGTTTAATTTATTGGACCCAATTGTGGTTGTGGTTTTAGCGATTGATAACACTATAGCTATGAGTGGGACACACAGGACATCTTGCTTGAATTGGGTTGCATCTATTTTCAGTGCTGGGGTCATAGTTTTCATTATAATTGTTGGATTTATGATTGGTTGCTTAGCTTGAACTAAGTATGTGGAAAGGAATTAGTTGATTCTACTGTTAGTCTTCTGGATGTTTCTAAATTTTTGGACAGCTATGGGCATTGGGTTAAATTGTTTTGTTCCTGTTGGTATGATATTGAATTGGATTTTATTGAATTGCATTGGGTTTAATTGAATTGCCTTTGCATTGGGGGCTAAACTATGGAAAGTTTGATAACTGATATTGAGGAGATCCAAATCCTTATCTTTATAACCTTTATGGCCTACTAAAACACATTCCTTTATGTGAAGACTCCAAACCATTAAAGACTCCAAACCATTCAAGTACCCCAAAACATTACATCAGGAGAATAGCTGGTTAATCTAAGTATTAAAGAGAATCAACAAAAGGTTAAAAAAAAAATAACTACACATAATTGTAAGGGCATTCAAGGTTATTTCCAAGAAAAACAATGACTCATTAAGTGAAGATTCGACTCTATTAAGTAGTTTTTCAAGCCTGCTCTATTAGTTTCCCCACAAAACATGCAACTTGCATACCATAGGCAGTAGAATGCATTTAGATTACATGCAACCTGAGTCTTAGTATTTTTTAAGAAGCATAAAAACTAAAACTTGGAGCTAAGGGGGCCAATCGGCTTGTTTCAACTCCGTTTGCCGTGAAAGCGAATGGGGAACAACTAGAAATTTCAGCACTTAAGATTTAGAAAACCTGTATGTTTTTTAAAAATTTGACTGATAATTTATTAATGTATTTCTTTCCTTTTTTGTACCAGATGAATTGAACTTGTGACAACAATCTTGTTCTACCATTTTTGAAAGTTATCAAGGCTATCACATATTGACTTGCATGCGTGGCAAGGCAGTTGACTAACAGTTTTACTTTGTGGTAGTGTTTCTCATTCACTGCATTTTCTTATTTGAGTTTCATGTTGATGTAGGAAATGCTGCATAAGAAAACTTCTACAAAATACTTAGCAACTGTAAATCCTGAGAAATGAAGATTATTGGTTCACTTTCTACTTCTCTAAAAAAAAAATCAACCTTTTACTGAATTGTTGTTCAAAGTTAAATGGGCAGGCTCCTGACTGTGAAACCTTGTTTCAGAATCTACTAGACCATGTAAATGCTAATGGAGAGTCGATGCCTATAGCTTCCTCAAGCATGATTCGTTCCCATAGTGTATCTGGTGACTTGCATGGTGTTCAACTTGATCCTGTAGCAGCTGATATTCTTAGGAAAGAGCTAGAGCATGAAAATTTTGTACAACTCAAAATTTCCCCAACTAGTATTCTCCATCTTCTTGCCTTGGTGTATGTCATTGTTACCTGAACTCACATTTTCCAGTTATATTACCTTGCTTATGTTAGAAACTTTTGTGTTGGTGGGTTATTGCTGCAGAGTATGCAAAGTAATTATCTAAGGATTGCATCTTATCAAAAATGTTCAATCTGCATTCTGCAGGTGGACTAGACCGTGATGAAATATCCATAGACATTACTTATTGCATTCTTAATGGGTCAGACAGTTCATTTTATAGCCTCCAATAATGATTGTGGAGTTAGAGACTTTGATATGGAAAAATTTCAACTCTGTAAGCATTCTCGTTATCCATGGCAAGTTAATGTAAGTCCTCCTCTGCTTCTCACTCAGTTTGTTAGTCTGTTAAACTGCGTAGCATTTTTTGCTGATCATTTGGCTGCTTAAGTTACAATATGAGAAGATTATATGATATTCACTTTATTTTTAATTTTTATTTTTTTGTTATTACTTATTAGTGCTTTTACTTATGTTCACATTTGCATCTGATTTCAAGAAAACTTCGCCTATTCCTGAGTCTCTGTTCTTCGTGTTGATGAGCTCACCAGGAATGTGAATGAAATATATTTAAGAGAAATATTCAGTACGTTCTTCTTATTCTTATCTTTGGGTGCACACTATTTTTTATAGTAATATTCTTCTATTTAACCGAAAATCATGGATATTACTTTGTGGAAAGTTGCATTTCCAGATCAAGCATGTGTATCAGGATGCCAATAGCATTGCAGAATTTCTAGCTTCTTATGTAGTCCTTTATGGTAGAAACTCTGATTTTTTTGAAAATGGGAAGCTGCCCACTACTGGAAGAGTACTTCTTCAGCAGGACCAAGGCATGATGCCTTCTATAAGATTGAAGAAGATGAGTGTATGTGATAACAGACATGGGGTTGGATGATATTGTGATTAATGTGGATGTGCAGGTGCTGCTTGGGGTGCTGGGCAGTGAGCTATTTTATTGTTTGAGTTTAGTTGGGAAGAGGAGTTTTGTGTAATGTCAGGGCTTTTCTGTTATGTTTGGTGAGGTGTGCCTCTGGTGTCACTTGTTGTGCTTCTCCGTCCTTTTGGTTGTGCTCATTGGCTTGAGGTTGGTTGTTGGTGCCTTTCCTAGCTGGGTGCTTCTGTGCTGTCAGTCTGCTGCTATGTGGCTGCGTGCTATGGTGCAGGCGCTTTGCTGTGGTTTGGGGTCATGTTGTGATTGCCTTGCCTATTCCTCCTTTCTGGTCATCCCCTATTTTGCTTGTGTGCACTGTCAAGGGATTGGGAGGTGTTATCGATGTTGTGGAGGTGTATGTGCTGCTTGGTGTTCTGGGCAGTTTTAAACGGCTTCCTTGGTTCAGTATCAGTTTGGATGCAGTGTGTGATGTGCTTCTGGGCTGCTGGTTCTGGGGTAGGGTATTTCTAGCTGGTTGGTGAAAGTTCCCACTTGGTTCTGACTTCAAAGGTTTTTTCATGTTGAAGGGTTAAAGCCAACCCTTGTTGGCCTTCCTCTTCTTCATTTGGTTTTCCTGCTATTGGAGGTGCTGGCTTGGTGTTGCATTGTTTTGTTTTGACTGGAATGGTGTTGTGTTATGCTGTAGGGCTTATTTTTCTCCTTTGTGCTGTGTTGTGCACTGTTTACGTGACTATTCACGTGAACAGTCTGCCTGTTGCTGCTGATGCCTTCCGTTCTGCTGTTTTTTGGATTTTGTCTGGTATGGAGCTGATCCTTTGCTGGTTTACCAGTTCATTTCAGCTGGATTCACAGCTAGAATTCAGCTGCTCTCTTCTGGCTCTCCCTTTTCTTCTTTGTCACTTTTCTGGCTTATTTAGCTAGGCTGATGCTGATGGATTTTCAACGACTCTCCTCAGCTGCTGGCTCTTAGCTGCTGCTTCCCTGCTGGACTTTAGCTGGATTTCAGCTTTATCTCATGGTTTTTGGTGCTTTCAGCTGGTCCTGCTTGCTGTCTTTGTTGGACAGTCACTGCAATGTTCATTTATGGTGCCCGAATCAGCCTAGCAAATGAATTGGAACTTTTACGTTATTGTTTTGGTGAGTGAAGCACATTCTCTTTGCAATATTGATTGACATAGGGAATTAAAGAGCATTCCTTTTACTCTATAGTCATTTAGTTCAGACATAAGCTTCATGGTGAGGTAATAGAGTTAATTTTCCTTTTACTATAGGAGCCTCACTTACTGCAACGTGGTTTTGGAGATATTTTCTGCATGTTTGTTCTGATAGATAAAAGGAGTTGAAGAATATTAGTATTTATACTCAATTCCTTGAGCATTGATATACGAGTTATAAGATTTCTCGCTTGCCTATAAGATAAAAGGAGTTGAAGTATATTAGTTATTTATGCTCTTACCTTGAGCATTGATATACGAGTTATTTATGCTCAAATCCTTCTTAACATTTCTCTCTTGCCCTATTGATAGGGATCTTCTGATCAATGCAATTATTGAACTTCAGAGGTATAGTTCACAACAAGGACCAGATTAAAAAGCTCTTGAATTAGCCATGATAAACTGGAGTTCTCTACATTAATCTGTCATAAATAAAGAGGCTCCAAGCAATGTCACTGTTGATTTAAACTACTCATGGTACTGATTTGTTGAGCTTTGAGATGATATTTCAAGGCATGGAGCTGGACTGCTGAAGGTGTTCAAGTTTAAGAGACATTAGGTTTAAATCCTCTTGAAGGATTAAACCATTTTTTTTTATTTTTAGAACTTCATGTTCTTTGATTCTTGTAATTCATTTTTTTTGAAATAAAATTTTATTTTTTTAAAAAAAAGTGCGAAATGTATTAATTGTATTAGTTTTTTATTAAACACAGTATTAATGGTGTACAGGTGAAAAATTTTATTGAAATATTATTTTTATGAATTATTTTTTTTTAAAAAAAGAACATTTTTGCGACGAAATTAAAATCGTCGCGGAACATTGTTATTCAATTATTTTTTACGTAAAAATTATTAGCGACGATTTTTTTACGTCGCAAAAAATTAATCAAATTATTATTTTTTACATTTTTAATTTATGTAAAAAATTATTTGCGACGATTTTTTTACATCGCAACAAATAATTAAATTATTATTTTTAATTTTTTATTTATGTAAAATATCATTCGCGACAATTTTTTTACGTCGCGAAAAATTAATTAAAGTATTATTTTTTATTTTCTTACGCTGGTGGAATAGATTTTAACTACGTTTTTTTTACTTTTAGCGACATTTTTTTTTTCGTCGCAAATTTTTTTTTTTTGCGATGAAAATAAATTTGCGTTGCAAAATACTTTCTGCGACGAAAAGAAAACGTCGCAAAAAATAATTGGCGACGATTTTTTTTTAATTTGGCGACGAAAAAAATCGTCGCAAAAAAAAATTTTGTTGTAGTGTCATAACCCGTGTCTTGAGGCACGATAGAACATAAAATTCAAGCCAAAAAAAAATTGATCTCACTATAATAAATAATAATTTTAATTTTCTTCATTTCTTTAATTACATAATTTAAAATTTATTTTTACTCATTATTTTCTTTAAAATATTGAATTTTTTTTTCAAAATACGTAATTCGTTAAAATTTTCTCAACATATGTATATTATCATATATTAATAATATATGAAATAAAAATTACGTTAAATTATAAATTAATCAAATATTAAATTATTGAACATGTGATAGAAATGAGTGATGTGATGGTTTTGGGAAGAAAAATAAACAAGGAATAAAATTCAACTTCCTACGCGTTTTATTATGTAAAATACGTAATTCGATAAAATTTTCTCAACATATGTATACTATCATATATGAATAATATCTTAAATAAAAATTATGTTAAATTATAAATTAATCAAATATTAAATGATTGAATATGTGATAAAAATGAGTAATATAATGGTTTTTGAAGGAAAATGTATATGGGATAAATTTAATTTTCTATGTGTTTTATTATATAGATATATCATTAAAGGAAAATACGGACTTATCAGAGTTCAATCACCACTGCTGCCATCACTATACCACCATTATCACTGTCCCACCATTGTTGCCCCACCACCACCCTTACTACCACCATCGTCGTTGCTGCCACCCCACCATCGCCAGCCCCACCCCTACTACCACCTTCGCCACCCCACCATCACCTTTGTCATAACTACCATTGCCACCCACAACCGACTGTTACCACCATCGTCCACTACCACCATCGACATATTATTTTTATATTTATTATCACTACTACCATCATACCACTCATACCGTCAGCACTCATCACCATCCATTACCACCACCCCATCGTAACCCACCATCACCGCCGTCCACTATCACCCATTCCCACCACACCTACCACCACCACCCCGTTGTCGTCCACTATCATCACCAACCACTATCACCCACTCCCACCATACCTACCAGCACCACTCGTCATTATCCACCACCGCCATCACCAACTATCACCCATCCCCACCACATTTATATAATAAAAAATAATACAATTCAAATTTCAAAAAATAAATAAAATAACTTTTGTCTTTTGTGGTTGCGATCTCTTTAGTTTTACTTTAATATTAATCCGACAGCTCATATGAACACTCCAAATTTAATAAAAAAAATATGTCTCTAAGAATATGTTTGTTATAACTTTTTAAAAGTGCTTATAGAATTTATAAGTATTCATAAGTACTTTAAAAAAAATAGTGTTTGGAACCGCCCCACCACCCCCGCCGCTCCACCACTACAATTACCCCCACCCCCACCACCATCACCACCTCTCCACCATAATAACCACTACGACAACCACCGTCACCGCCACCTGCCACCACTACCCTTACCACCCCACCACCACCACCACCACCGTTGCCACCGCCTTACCACCATCGCTACTATCCCACCACCAACTCCACGGCTAAAACCATTACCACCATCGCCACCACCACCACCACCACCACCACTACCATTGCCCCCACCACCACTACTACTGCCACTATCAGCGTCACCACCCTACCACACCTGCTGCCCACCATCACTACTGCTATTCACCTCAATTATAATCAATATTTAAATTCATTTTTCTTTCATCTATATTTGTGATTTAATTTTACGTGTGAATACAAAATTTGTTATTATTGACAATTTCTTTTATTACTCCGTGTCTTTAGACATGACCCATAGAATATATATAATCTTTGAGTTATCAGAGTTGGTCATTTTTTTCTATGTCAATTGGCACTTGTAAAGTGTGTGATTAAACTCGTGTGGTGAATGATTAATGTTTTATTTTATTACTTTACACACTGAATCACATACTTTGACTTATGGCATAATGAACATTTGTTATTGTTGGGTTTTAACAGTCCGGTACATAATTGATTTTTAAATAGTTGTAAATAACTGAATATTATTGCCAACAAAGCACCATGAGTTATAACCGCAAAAAATTATACCGAATAAAATTAAAAATTCAAACACAAGAATATATCAAGGAAGGTACCTTTTGGCCATGTGGCAAAAAGAAATGAAACAGGGAGATTTTAAAAAAAAATTGACTGTAACCATTATAGCACATCCGCAATAATACGTAATGTAACCGTCCACTGATCTATTCTATACTTCTAAAAGGTTGCTAAACCAAAAACTTTTTATTGTCTTATTTACCCTTCAACAATTATATAATCTCAACTTTGCCTACCAGTCAGTTAATGGCATGAACATTTGAGCACCCTTTGACTTAATCTTGAGCACCCTTTGGTTTACTCTCTCCTCATTTACTACCAATCAATTCCCCTTTTTCATCAACCCATTACCAAATCCACAAGGAAGATGAAGGTGCTCGAAGTGGGAGTGAGATCATCATCGGTGATAATAGCATTAACATTTGAGTATCATTTAGTTTCCTTTTTTTAAATTTATTCTCTCTCTCCCTCAATTCTCATTTACTATTTATCTATCTCAATTTCTGTTTTTCATCAACCCATTACCGAAGGCATAAGGAAGATGAAAGTGATCGAAGTAGAATCATCATCATCATCTGGCTATCTCAATTTTCCACCTTCTACATATCTTTGACCTGCGTTAGGCAATGAACTATTTGTTGAAGGGAAGGGACCTATATGAAAGATTTATTGTTGCATCTTGGGCAAATATTTCCCAAGTCGTCAAGACGATGATCGAAGAATATTTCTACCAACAGGTTTAGAAGATGTTTTTGGAAAGTAAATGCAAGTTCAGAAGTTACTTCAATTTCCTTTGAAAATGGCATATGTTGCCTTCTAAAGTTGTTCTTTCTTCAATGAAAATGTCATCTCTCAATTAGTTAGGCACTAATTGTTTTATTTGCTATGGCAGCAGATTATTGCTTTGTGCCTTGGGCAAAACCATTCTTTTTTTGCAGAAATTAAATCACCAATAATGCCGGGCTTCCTTTTATTACTTAAGTTTGTTTACATCAACGTTGTTTTCCTTGATCCATTATGTTTTTTATGTGATACGAGTGTTTCTTTTCTTTTGAACTTGAATGTATGCTTATTATCTGATTATCCTTATACATATCCTGACGATGACTATTTTATAACTTCTGAAACTTGTGATTTGATAAATTTAGGTCATTATAGATGAATTAAGAAAATTGCTTAGCATAGAATCACTAACAATACTAGAGGATTTCAACAATGGGCTAACCAAATGAGACGGAGGACTTGGACCTCAGTAGCGAATTTCACCTTGAGTGTTGCCAAGCAATTATTGAGTGATCTGACTGACTTATTCGGTGTCCCAAACACTTTTTGTCCATGGCTTTACTTTGGAGGGCCGTCCATGTAAATGGAGCTACTAGGGGATGGACTAATAGGTTTGCGAATGCGGTAGTTGATGAAGTTGGTGACACAGCAGTGTGTGGCATGATGAGGATTTTCAAATTTCTTTTTTTCTTTTTGGTATGTAGATAAATTCCAAAAGTATTTCGGTATATGTAAATTTCGCCATATTTGAAACGTCTATATTGATTCTTAATTTAA